GTAGTTCTCTTTGAAGAGGTTCTTCATATTCCTTGTAAGTTGTATTCCTAAATATTTTATTCTCTTAGCAGCAATTGTGATTGGGAGTTCATTGATGATTTGGCTCCCTGTTTGTCTGTTATTGACGTATAGGAATGCTTATAATTTTTGAACATTGATTTTGTATCCTGAGACTTTGCTGAAGTTGCTTATCAACTTAAGGAGATTTTGGGTAGAGATGATGGGGTTTTCTAAGTATACAATCATGTCATCTGCAAATAGAGACAATTGGACTACCTCTCTTCCTATTTGAATGCTCTTTATTTCTTTCTCTTGTCTAATTGTCCTGGCCAGAAGGTCCAATACTATGTTGAATAGGAGTGGTGAGAGAGGGCATCCTTGAATGCTTCCAGCTTTTGCCCATTCAGTATGACATTGGTTGTGGGTTTGTCATACATAGTTCTTATTATTTAGAGATATGTTTCATCAATACCTGGTTTATTGAGAGTTTTTAGCACGAAGCGCTGTTGAATTTTATCGAAGGCCTTTTCTGCATCTATTGAGATAATCATGTGGCTTTTGTTATTGGTTCTGTTTATGTGATGGATTACATTTATTGATTTGCATATGATGAATCAGCCTTGCATCCCAGGGATGAAGCCCACTTGATCATGGTGGATAAGCCTTTTGGTGTACTGCTGCGTTTGGTTTGCCTGTATTTTATTGAGGATTTTCACATCGATGTTCATCAGGAATATTGGCCTGATATTTTGTATTTTTGTTGTGTTTCCACCAGGTTTTGGTATCAGGATGATGCTGGCCTCATAAAATGAGTTAAGGAGGAGTCCCTCTTTTTCTATTGTTTGGAATAGTTTCAGAAGGAATGGTACCAGCTCCTCTTTGTACCTCTGGTAGAATTCGGCTGTGAATCCATCTGGTCCTGGACTTTTTTTGGTTGGTAGGCTATTAATTACTGCCTCAGTTTCAGAACCTGTTATCAGTCTATTCAGAGATTGGACTTCTTTCTGGTTTAGTCTTGGGAGGGTATATGTGTCCAGGAATTTATCCATTTCTTCTAGATTTTCTAATTTATTTGCATAGAGGTGTTTATATTATTCTTTGATGGTAGTTTGTATTTCTGTGGGAATAGTGGTGATATCCCCTTTTTCATTTTTTATTGTGTCTATTTGATTCTTCTCTCTTTTCTTCTTTATTAGTCTGGTTAGCAGTCTATCTATTTTGTTAATCTTTTAAAAAAAACCTGCTCCTAGATTCATTGATTTTTTTTGAAGGGTTTTTTGTTTGTCTATCTCCTTCAGTTCTGCTCTGATCTTGGAATCTGCTAGATTTTGAATTTGGTTGCTCTTGCTTGTCTAGTTCTTTTAATTATAATGTTAGAGTGTCTTTTTTAGATCTTTCCTGCTTTCTGCTGTGGACATTTGGTGCTATAAATTTCTCTCTAAACACTACTTTAGCTGTGTCCCAGAGAGTCTGATATGGTCTGTCTTTGTTCTCATTGGTTTCAAATATCTTATTTATTTCTGCCTTAATTTAGTTATTTACCCAGTAGTCATTCAGGAGCAGGTTGTTCAGTTTCCATATAGTTGTGTAGTTTTGAGTGAGTTTCTTAATCCTGAGTTCTAATTTGATTGCACTGTAGTCTGAGAGACTGTTATAATTTCTGTTCTTTTGCATTTGCTGAGGAGTGTTTTACTTCCAATTATGTGGTCAATTTTAGAATAAGTGCTATGTGATGCTGACAAGAATGTATATTCTGTTGATTTGGTGGAGAGTTCTGTAGATGTCTATTAGGTCCACTTGGTCCAGAGCTGAGTTCGAGTCCTGAATATTCTTGCTAATTTTGTCTCATTGATCTGTCTAATATTGACAGAGGAGTGTTTAAGTCTCCCACTATTATTTGTGTGGGAGTCTAAGTCTCTCTGTAGGTCTCTAAGAACTTGCTTTGTGAATCTGGGTGGTCCTGTATTGGGTGAATATATATTTAGGATAGTTAGCTCTTCTTGTTTCATTGATCCCTTTACAATTATGTTATGCCCTTCTTTGTAATTTTTTATCTTTGTTGGTTTAAAGTCTGTTTCGTCATAGACTAGGATTGAAAACCCTGCTTTTTGTTTTTCTTTCCATTTGCTTGGTAAATCTTCCTCTGTTCCTTTATTTTGATCCTACGTGTCTTTGCACATGAGATGAGTCTCCTGAATACAGCACACCAATGGGTCTTGACTCCTCATCCAAGTTGCCAGTCTGTGTTTTTTAATTGGGGCATTAAGCCAATTTACATTTAAGGTTTATATTGTTATGTGTGAATTTAATCCTGTCATTATGATGCTAGCTGTTATTTTTGCCCATTAGTTGATGCAGTCTCTTCATCGTGTTGATGGTCTTTACATTTTTGTATGTTTTTGCAGTGTCTGGTACTGGTTTTTCTTTTCCATAGGTAGTCTTTCCTTCAGGAGCTCTTGTAAGGCAAGTCTGGTGGTGACAAAATCCCTCAGCATTTGCTTGTCTGTAAAGGATTTTATTTCTCCTTCACTTATGAAGCTTAGTTTGGTTGGATATGAAATTCTAGGTTGAAAATTCTTCTCTTTAAGAATGTTGAATGTTGGCCCCCACTCTCTTCTGGCTTGCAGGGTTTCTGCAGAGAGATCCAATGTTAGTCTTATGGGGTCCCCTTTGTGGGTAACCTGACCTTTCTTTCCAGCTGCCCTTGACATTTTTTCCTTCATTTCAATCTTGGTGAATCTTACTATTATGTGCCTTGGGCTTGCTCTTCTCGAGGAGTATCTTTGTGATGTTCTCTATATTTCCTGAATTTGAATATTGGCCTTTCTTGCTAGGTTGGGGAAGTTCTCCTGAATACTAGCTTGAAGTGTGTTTTCCAACTTGGTTCCATTCTCGCCATCACTTTCAGGTACACCAATCAAACATAGGTTTTGTCTCTTCACATAGTCCCATATTTCTTGGAAGCTTTGTTCGTTCCTTTTCATTCTTTTTTCTCTAATCTTGTCTTTACATTTTATTTAATTAAGTTGATCTTCAATCTCTGATATCCTTTCTTCCGCTTGATCAATTCAGCTATTGATACTTGTGTATGCTTCACAAAGTTCTTGTGCTGTGTTTTTCAGCTCCATCAAGTCATTTATGTTCTTCTCTAAACTGATTATTCCAGTTAGCAGTTTCTGTAACTTTTTATCAAGGTTCTTAGCTTCCTTGCATTGGGTTAGAATATGCTCCTTCAACTCGGAGGAGTTTGTTATTACCCACCTTCTGAAGCCTACTTCTGTGAGTTCATCAAACTCATTCTCCATCCAGTTTTGTTCCCTTGCTGGTGAGGAGTTGTGATGCTTTGGAAGAGAAGAAGTATTCTGGTTTTTAGAATTTTCAGCCTTTTTGCACTAGCTTTCCTCATCTTTATGGATTTGTATACCTTTGGTCTTTGATATTGGTGACCTTTGAATGGGGTTTTTAAGTGGTCATCCTTTTTGTTGGTGTTGATGTTATTGCTTCCTATTTCTTAGTTTTTCTTCTAAGAGTCTGGCCTCTCTTCTGCAGGTCTGCTGGAGTTTGCTGGAGATCCATTCTAGACCCTGTTTCCCTGGGTTTCACCAATGGAGGTAGCAGAACAGCAAAGATTGCTGCCTGCTCCTGCCTCTGGAAGCTTTGTCCCAGAGGGTAACCTGCCAGATGCCAACCAGAGCTTTCCTGTACGAGGTGTCTGTCGACCCCTTCTGGGAGGCGTCTCCCTGTCAGGTGGCACAGTGGTCAGGAACCCACTTGAGGAGGCAGTATTTCCTTAGTAGAACTCGAGTGCTGTGCTGGGAGGTCCGCTGCTCTCTTCAGAGCCAGCAGGCATGAACGTTTAAGTCTGCTGAAGCTGTGCCCACAGCTGCCCCTCCCCCAAGGTGCTCAGTCCCAGGAAGATGGAAGTTTTATCTATAAGTCCCTGACTGGAGTTGCTGCCTTTCTTTCAGAGACACACTGCCCAGAGAGGAGGGATCTAGAGAGGCAGTCTGGCCACAGCAGCTTTTTGGCACTATGGTAGGCTCTGCCCAGTTTGAACTTCCTGGTGGGTTTGTTTATACTGTGAGGGGAAAACTGCCTACTCAAGCGTCAGTAATGGCAGGTGCTTCTCCCGCACCAGGCTTGAATGTCCCAGGTAGACTTCAGACTGCTGGACTAGCAGTAGGAATTTCAAGCCAGTGGATCTTAGCTTGCTGGACTCTGTGAGGGTGGGATCCACTGAACAAGACTACTCAGCTTCCTGGCTACAGTCCCCTTTCCAGGGGAGTGAATGGTTCTGTCTCAGTGGCATTCCAGGTGCCACTGGGGCACGAACAAAAACTCCTGCAGCTAGCTTGTTGTCTGCCCCAGTGGCTGCCCACTGATAGCTTCGTGCTTGAAAAGCAGGACCCCGGTAGTGTAGGCACCCAAGGGAATCTCCTGGTCTGCGGGTTGTGAAGATAGTGGGAAAAGCATAATATCTTGGCCAGATACCTATGTCCCTCACAGTACAGTCACTCACGGCTTCCGTTGGCTAGGGGAGGGAGTTCCCCAACCCCTTGTGCTTCCCGGGTGAGGCAACGACCTATCCTGCTTCTGTTTGCCCTACTTGGGCTGCACCCACTGTCTAACCAGTCCCTTACAGTGGTTCTTTTAGCCTTTCAACCCCTACATCATTGTCCCAGAATAGAAAGATTCCTTTTGAAACTTACTAGTCATTTAGAAATGACAATTTGGGTACTAAATTATTATAGAAAACAATAAAATGTTTTTAAATAGGTAAATCTATAATTTTTACATGATATGATCATTAACTGAAAATAAATCTGACTCTCATATTCTAAGAGTGATGGTATGAAAAAACTATGTTTTGCATGGTGTCACTTAAAATAACACTTCAAAAATATTTATGAAATAATCATGGGGAAATCAGTTACATTTCATAAGGTGATATGATAAACATAAAGAATTGTTTGTACATAAATGTCAAAATATCTTTTTTTCAGGATAAAATAATGAACCCCATCAGAAATGACTGTCTATTCTAGGATGATGGATTCCATGGTAAGTGAAATTAAAATTGTATTCCCCATCAGAAATATCAAAAATAAATAATGAAAGCATGGTATACAGGAAATAATTTGTCACACATACAAAGACAAGTCTTCAGAGTTTTAGACACATATTCACGAGTGAGAACACACATCCAACCAAAAATCTGTTGATTTCACTTCCACAATCAGCAGTGTGGAGACTAAAGATAGTAGAATTAAAATTACATTCTTAACCCAAAAGTCCAAAAACAAAGAATAGATCATTTACAGAAAAGGGTTTGTAAAACAAAGAATGACAGATCTACAGAAGGTATTCACAAGTGAGAAAACACATCTCACCAAAATTCTTGGGATTTCACCATCACAAACACCACTTTGGAGCCTGGAGATGCTGCACAGCCTTCTGTGAACAGGACACTGACAGGGACCCTGCACAGTGTGATGGCCCCAAACACAAACCTCAAAGGAAGTTCAACCTCTCAGTGTGGCAGGAGCAGCTGTGGTGCCAGGGGATGTGTCCCCAGGAGCTGGAGTCAGGAGGGCTCAGGGAGATGACTGGAAACTCTTTGAGGAAGGAAGAGGTCATGAGGCCTCAGTCACCGGCACAGGCTCCTCTTCTATGTGAACAGGGCCAGGGCCTTCTAGGACACCTTCCAAAGCCTCCTCTTTCATCCCCACTGAGGGCACTGAAGCCCTACAAACACTCCAGGGTTGGCTGCCACTTTGTCTCTGGAGCAGCCCCTAAAGTTCCCTGCTGTTCTCTTGACTGTAGGGATACTCAGTCATGCCACTGTAAAGGGAACCTAGTGTGTCCTCTCATCACCTGCCACTGATGACCTTCATGGCACTTCTCCAGGCCTTTGCCAAGTGACCCCACTCTCACCAACCGTCAGAAGGATGGAAAGCGGGCTGCACTGCATGATGTTCGGCTTATGAGCAAGTCAGAACTCATGGGAGTCTCAGGTTTGTGCAGCTCATAATAATATCACATAGGAATCCTATTTTGACATTCCCTGGTTCCTCATTCTCTCTGAAGAGTTACCCACTCTGCCCATGCACTTTAAGACTTTCTTCTTGTGAAGCTGCTAATATAATGGTGTTTTCATTTTGAGACTGATATGATTCTAATGGTGGAATACTAGATGTGTGCTTGTCACATCCTCACATTTCTAAGAATAAAAGACCCTTCTTTTGAGTATCATTTGTTCTTTTTTTTTCTAGCTTGTCAGAATTACATTTCCAGTGATGGATGTGAAAACTTCTTTGCTGAAATGCATTTATATTGTTATAAATTGACTGCTTTTTAAAAATCCCATAAATTTGGATATGCGATGTTTACTTTCAGACCAAAATATTTTGTAATTTCCATTTTTGTTGTTTCTTTGCTCCAAACTACATTTAATGGTACTTTACTTAATTTCATAATATTTAGATTCTTACCAACACTTTTTTTAAAATTAAATTTAGAATTTCAGTGGCTTTATGGGTATGGCTGGTTTTTGGTTACACTGATGAATTGTATAGTAGTGAACTCTGGGCTTTAGTTACCCATCACCCGAATAGTGTGCCTTGTCCCCAAGAGGTAATTTTTCATTCCTCCTCCTTCTCCCACCAACCCCCTTCTGATAACTTTCTGTTGCTGATTTCTAATACAATTCCCTCAGTAATGAATAATTTATTTTGTATGATTTAATCAGCTTCATTTGATTGAAATATCCTGTGGTCCCAAATATAATGTATCATTAGCAGATCTTTTGAAAAGACCATGGAATCTGCTGTGGTTTGGTGGAGTGTTCTCTAGGTATCAATCTTGTCCAGATGGTTGATAGTGGTGTTCAAGTCGTCTGTATCTGCAATGGCCCAAGGGGCAGGGCTGTTTGCACTGCAACCTGGACCTGCTGCGGAGTACTTCTCTACCTTGAGTCTCACTCATGACTGACAGACTTACATGTCCCCAGGTGGGCCAAACCTGCATTCCATGGGGTAGAATATGTAGCCTCCAAAAACCAAGAAAGTCCTACTTAGAGCTTCCATTTTTAAGGACAAACACATTCATTAAAAACACTGGAATAAAATAGATATTCCTGTAATCCTGAACTCTGATTCTTTCCTTGTTTATGTATCATACATTACAATGGCCTTATTAATGGGGACATTATTTAGTGCCATTTGATGGCAACTGTTGAGTTGAATGCCCAGATCCAAGGTGCAGGGCAACACCAGCTGGGGGAAATCAGCCTTCCAAGCACAGCCACAATATGTCTAGTCAGCCACAAAGAGTTCCCAAGTAAATTTCTGATCATTTTCCTTATCTTGGTGCAGCATCTGGACTTACTCTCTAACGAGGAGGGTCTAAAGTTTGACACTGTTTGTCGTTGATCTGTTGCACCAACTGTCATCTAGTCTTTCTGTCAGTCACTTACTAGGGCACTCAAGTCAAATTCTCCATAGATATGATTATCTTCTTTCAAATTCCAGACAAAATGTTGACTTTATATTTGCTTAGCAAATTAAATATTTTAATGCTATGAATATGGTCACTTAAATTGTACCTTTCTCTCAGTCTCTCTGCAAATGTTAACGTGGGGCAAAGTTCATAACAGGTTTCTCATTATTTCCCTTTTCCTCTACAATTTCTAAGTAACATGACTTACTATGAGAAAACCTGTGAAGTTAGTTTTAACCCAAGACAACGTAGTTATATTGAAATTTAATACCTTCAGAAGCCAGAAACTAAATACATTGCTCTTGCTTTTTAGCTTACTTAGGATTATTATTTACTAGTAAATATTTGCTTTAATTTTTAATAGAATCAGGAGGCTTCTCCCTTTTATTTTGCCTTGTATGAATAATTTTTATGTAAACAGTTTTCCCGGGGTAACAGATTAGCTTACCTTCTTATTTTCAGTTTTAGCTTCCACCTAGGGCTGCTGGGATTCCAGAATACAAAAGACACCGTTTTCTAGGTTGAGGATATTTCTACTTTACTACGGTAAGTATATAAAATATGTGTAAGATCCAGCTAAATTAGTGTCTAGCAAGAGATGATGCCGCTATTTGTTTGTTAAATGTGATAGTTTCATTCCCGACTGCTCCTGGGAGGTCAGAATTTATTTTATTTTATTACTGGTCTTTTTTTTTTTTTTTTTTTTTCTAGTAGATATTTTAGAAGAGCTAATATCTGGAAGTATTCCAAAGCAAGAGCAATTCATTCTTCATAGAGTACTTATACTTCGTGATCCTTGGCTCCTGCCCACAAATGACCAAGTAATAATAAAGTTCACTACATTGATATGGAGCTGCTGCTTCCAGAAGGACAGAGTCACTATTTCCAGCTGTCAATGCAGAGACTGTATTATTATTATTATTAATTATTATTATAAGACAAGAAAGGAGCACTAAAGATTTTATTCAGCTCTTGTCTGTTTCCTTTTTTAAACTTTTGATTTTTGCTTGCAGGAGTGAAAAGAAGCACTTAAAACAGTTGATTTTAAAAATCAGCTTGAGTTAATTTGATCCCTAATTTTTCTCAAGAGCCTTAAAAATTTTTAATATAATTTCTATAAGTGTTTGATTCTTAAAATTGTTTATATATGAAAAAAAACTACGAGTGTGAGAACTATCAGATTTTATTCTAATTTTTTCTACATGTAAACTACCTTATCTAAGTTAAAAGTAAATAAGTTATTCCACTTTGTTTTCTCGTTATATTCATTCAAACTCTTATGTCAACTGTAGCTTCTACTACAGCTTAAATAGAATCCCCAGTTCCATCTCTAGAAACATCTTGGAGTCTTCACTTTCCATCTCTCAAGTAAACCAGGTTTTTTTGTAAGGTCTAGAAGGCCAACTTTACATTCAAAGAGTAGAAAAAATTTACTAACTTCCCAGGCAAGCTATGGTTTCATGGAGACCTACTTTTAAGACAGAGACTCGTTTCCTCAAGGGTGTGAATTCAAAGGGAACCTAAGAGCCACAGAATGCTCAGGAAGAAAACAGACTCATGCCTTCACCTTGCGCAGTTGGTGGGTGTGGTGGATTCTGCAGAGATATTAACAAGCACAGAGGAGAAGCCCATCACTTAATCCCACAGCTGTGTGGATAGTTTCATAGGATTTCTGAAAACCTTTTCCAAGAAAAAGTAAAGAACAGAACTGAAACATTTGGAAACAGGTTCAGATGAGACAGATCTAGAACAGGGTCTGAAGATTCAGAAAAGTTCAACATGGAAACAATGCTGTTTCTTTCAATGCTTGGAGAGAGAGATTCTCAGAAGCAGAAGATACACATTCACGGAACCTACATTCCCTGTGCTCTCTCTCTGTGTTCCAGAATATTTATCCATGAATCTATGATCCAGTGAGGGACACTTTCAGTTAGTGAGATACTGTGGACAGCTTCAATCCCAGGTACCTGAGAACCAGGAATTCATTCACAGGAATCCATTGCAGCTCCCGTGGTGGGTGACTTGGTCTTAATTCTCACCCAAGGACAAACTCTCACCTTTAATTGAAAAGAAGGTTCATTGAGACTCAGGTCGGGAACAGGCCTCTGTGTGTCTCAGCCTCACCCACAGCAGTGTAGGTATGCACTATCTGGACTAATACAGTCTGTAGAACAAAGTCTACATGATGTGCAACAGTGATCTATAAATGAGAATGCTATGTTGTTTACTTCAAAACTGTAGGCTTATTTCTCAATGGCCTGTGCCAAACTCAACTTTTGAAATGTAATTGTTTTAAAAACAGCCCAAATAAGAATATTTTTAACATTTCAGATAATATGACTCTACATGTCCAGAAAACCTCACCCACATCTGCTCTCAATAGGTAAGATAAGTCCATTTATGAAAACCCTAAACTTAATACTGACCTCTGTAGCTCTCTTATGCAGAAACTCCCCACTGCGCTGCTGTGTGGCATCCCCTAGATGCATACTCCTTCTTCAGTGTCCCGCCCATTTTGAGAAACAACCCTGGCACCTTATTCTCTGGGCTACCTCCTGCTATGAGGGACTTCTCGCTGCAAACCTGTCAAAGTTTCACCCAATAGAGGTCGTGTATGTTTCTGCCCTCTGTGGTCATCTCTTTTTCCTTGGTCAGCCCACAAATCCCTCAAGCCCATACAAACAGGATCACAGTATCCACCCCATAAACACTGACTCCCGGTAATGAACACAAACAATTCCACTTCCAAGACTCTCTTCCCAAGTCATATAAGTAATACAGTTCCTTTCAATTATATGGATCCCAAACTAACTGCATCAGGAAAAGGAGACACAGCCACACTAAATCCCGCCTGTAGAAGTCCTTGCTCATTCAGGTGACCATGGTTCAGATTAGAGACATGCAGAGGTCTGCTCCCCACCTGGGTCAAATGGAGACTGTTCTGACACCTTCTTACCTGTGTCCACGGTGGAGTGACCAGCTTTGTCTGCTGTTGAGAAAGTCTTGGTGTAATATGTCAACAGACAAGAGAGGGAAGTTTATGTTCAGAATTATTAATATTGTTCTTTAAGTCTACAGCTAAAATAGGGTAATTTCGAAGCCCTTTTCTGACTAAAAAAAGATTTGTACAAGTTTTTATGTTTTCTGAATATGTAAGGTGACAAATCATGAGATTTTTGTTAAAAATCCCAATGGTAGCCTTCTTAATGGTTCATTCATTCTCATAGAAAATAGCAATGCTGTATTAAATTCAAACAATCTTAATACTATGTAAAAACAACATTTTCAAGAATTGGCTTATAGTAAAAGAAAACAAGACAATTTTTTTCCTGTTAATCACTTTCTTGCAATTCAAATTTTTGTATTAGATAACGGATAAAACTGATTATTAGCACCTTTTCAGAATAATTATTTAAAACTAGCAAGAAAATGGATGATTTTGTTCTATTTTAGTTAGGCTGTTTATGTTTTATCTCTCTTTATTCTATTCCTTCAGCTTCTGATGTTTCTGACTTCTTTTCACTATCATGATTAAGAATCTGTCCTTTACAACACTCAGAAGCAGATCACAATTTGTTGACATCATAAGAAAAAAAAGTGAAGTACACAAAATTTGCAAAATGTAATAAGAGAAAAGAGTAAAGAAAATTTTAACAGTGAAATATAAGCTTTTATTCCAATCCTACCTCGTAGCTACAGTTTGATGTCGTCACCCCACATTATTTCCATGGAGTTCAACATTTGAAGCTCAATATCATTTTTACTCAGTTATCTTTTCTGATCTTATTAAAAATGAGATTTTGGTAGATTCCCCTGAAGATATTCCGACCAAGCTTTCTTCTGGAATCTTACCTAGAATTACATTTATTTGTTTTCTTGGGCAATTCAATATGACTTTGTGTTAAATTACACAAGGTTACATAACTCTAGAAGTTAATCCTTCATTGTTCTTGGATTTTTTTTTTTTTCAGAAATGTGACTGTCCTTGTGAAAGTATTTATTGTTGGCACCATTATTCAGGAGCTGTGCAATGGAATATGAAGCACATCACTGAGAAATAAAGAATAGTGCGGTTGTTTTTCTGTTTAATGATCAGCTGTATGGTAGATTCACATCCCTAAACTGTGAGCAATTTTACATAAAGTCAAAAAAATATCAGTTGCAGGTACAAGTGACCCGGAGACATAAAACTGGGAATGCAGTTCTTGCTCTTCCTACATGGAGAATTTCCTTGTGAACTGTTGGCTCATGGCTGTGGCTTTGTCACTTCCAAGCTCAGGGAGGCTCATGTCTCACTCAGAGTTGACAAGAACCTGGAAGCCCTGACAGGACCTGATTCCACATTACCAGGGAGACTGCGTGGGAACTTTGTAACGTCATTTGGAAAAAACATCATGCAAAGTTATTTCTTATTTGTTCTGTATCATTAACCTAGAAGATTTTTCCCTTAAGAGAGTCCTCTGGGCCAGGCACGGTGGCTCACACCTGTAATTCCAGCACTTTAGAAGGCCAAGGCAGGCAGATATCCTGAGGTCAGGAGTTCAAGACCAGCCCGGCCAACATGGTGAAACCCCATCTGTACTTAAAAAAAAAAAAAAAAAAAAAGCTCTCTGGTTAACCTTGTATATGTGAGATGATTATGATAGGATAGATCTCAGATTGAACAACTGGTCACCAGGACTTTTATAATCACTGCCTGAGGCATAAAATTTTGTCTCTCTTTCCTTTTCCTTACACTGGGCTCTTAGCTCTTAATGTAGAGGCTCACGTCATTCTCTCTGTGAGGCCCTTGGACAGAGAGCTCTTATGCAGTTCACTCACCAGGTGCCAGGGCAGGGCAGATTCCAGTATTTCAGCTGAACATTCTTTTTTTTTTTTTTTTTGGAGACGGAGTCTAGCTCTGTCGCCCAGGCTGGAGTGCAGTGGCCAGATCTCAGCTCACTGCAAGCTCCGCCTCCCGGGTTTACGCCATTCTCCTGGCTCAGCCTCCCGAGTAGCTGGGACTACAGGCGCCTGCCACCTCGCCCGGCTAGTTTTTTGTATTTTTTAGTAGAGACGGGGTTTCACCGTGTTAGCCAGGATGGTCTCGATCTCCTGACCTTGTGATCCGCCCGTCTCGGCCTCCCAAAGTGCTGGGATTACAGGCTTGAGCCACCGCGCCCGGCCGTAGCTGAACATTCTTGAACAGTTATCCTGGAAACAGCAGGTACCAGACAGCCCTTGAACTGGAAGCAGCTCCAGGCCACTTTTTATTTGCAGGCTCTCAGTCCAACAGTGCTAGTGGGGATAGGGTTGTTTCCTTCTCTAGATTGACGAGGAGGAAGTCAAGTCAGATGGCATTTGCCTCCCAGAGATGCATCCTAGACACACATTTCCACATGGTCTAGGTTCTGGTGCTTTCTTACAGTCATGCCCTATACAGTGTGTCCCTACAAAAGGTCCCAACTTTCCCCTTCAGATCCTTCTTCCCTTGATTGTGGGTAAACTTCATTGAATCTCTCTCTGTTTTGTTCCAAGGGACATTTAATATCACATTGTTCACAGAAGAGACATTCCCCCTGCCCCATCAACCTTTTCCACACCACTGCACCCACCGTGGGCTGTCTGCTATCTGCTGTTTCTAGTATTTGCATACTGTCCCCTAGGGAGGACCTTCCCTTGTGGGTCTGAGATAAAAGCTCAGCTCTAACCTTGCCTTGACTGATCAGGACTCCTCAGGTCACCTTCTCACAATGAGGCTCCCTGCTCAGCTCCTGGGGCTGCTGGTGCTCTGGCTCCCTGGTAAGGACTGAATGAGATGAGGGAGGAGAATTGGGTGGGAGGTGAGCTCTGTGGGCTCCACAGCTTCACATGTTTATTTCAATAATATGATAGAGTCACATGGTCCATGCTCCAGGGAATGGAATTCACGTGTGTCTGATGAGTAATCAGGATTCACCTCCAGGAAACGATGACCAGTGCTCTGATTCAGAACTTGAAAATAAAGAGTTCCCTGCTGGCTGTTAAATAATGGGTTTATTTTAGAAAGTCTACTTTTCATGATATAAATCAAAACTTTAAAAATGTTAATGTAAATCAATATCACAAGAGAAATTCTGAAAGTTGCTCATAATGATCTATATAACCTTGCATTTCTCTGTTATTATTTCAGGGACCAGTGGGGATATCGTGATGACCCAGACTCCACTCTCCCTGCCCGTCACCCCTGGAGAGCCGGCCTCCATCTCCTGCAGGTCTAGTCAGAGCCTCTTCGATAGTGATTATGCAAACACCTATTTGGATTGGTGTCTGCAGAAGCCAGGCCAGTCTCCACAGCTCCTGATCTATATGCTTTTCAACCGGGTCTCTGGAGTCCCAGACAGGTTCAGTGGCAGTGGGTCAGGCACTGATTTCACACTGAAAATCAGCCGGGTGGAGGCTGAGGATGTTGGGGTATATTACTGCATGCAAAGTATAGAGTATCCTCCCACAGTGGTATAGCCTCGAACAGAAACCTCCCTGCTGGGTTGGCCCAGCTGCCCACGTGCACTGCTTGTCTGGGGGAGCAGCTGAGCAGAGTTTCTGAGTCTCCAGAACAGAAGGCTGTTGGAGATGTCAGGGCAGGGTTTGCTGCTGAGGACGTTGGTCCATGAGAAGCTCAATAGCACCTCAGATCCCAAATGTTAAATCCCCACCAGCTGCCACAGCCTGGGAAGGCATAAGGAGGAGGAGAATTCATGGGGGCCACGTGCCCTGGGAACAACCAACTATGATGAAGGGAAAGTGAATGAAAGCTCACATCCTCACCCTCCCTGTCTTGCCCACATTTGTCAGGTATGTGAAACTGTCAGAATAACCAGACCATGAATGCAGTTTAGTGACAACACAAGGAGAACATATATGGGAAATGACCAGCTTGGGGTTTATTTCAAACACGATGGCACTTAGTCATGTTGGGGAACTCATAGTCTCCCGTCTCCCTAATTCTGCTCTCTGACTCGCACTAAACCCTCCTCTCCAGTGTCTTACAGGAGAAAGCACTGTGCACAAGCTGTCAGCAGGGGAGTATGGCTAAGGACACTGAGTAAAAATCTTTAATGTTGGATTATTCAAATAGACTTTGTAAACTCATGGCAGGTATGAGATCCTGTTGTGAAAAATTGATTACTCCTAATTATTATTTGGAAAGTGAAAAGCAGGCTTTCACAATTCCAAAAGTGGCCTTTGAAAATAAACTGCATAAACTCAAAGATGGAAAATATAAAGTTTATTTCAAGTTCAAAAGGAAACATTCAGAATTATGTTAGATTTTTATTTCTCTTCCAAATTCTAAAAATTTTGAAAGTATTTAGGCTAAGTACTATTTTAAAGTAGAAATTTATTACTGTATTTTCATAAGAAAAGGTTTCAAAGGATACAGAAATGCATTCTTTTCACATGGTTACATCATTACCTGAAAAGGAATCTGAATTCTCTATTTCGGTTGTAAATGCATGGAGCATCTATGCTTTTCATAGATTTTTTAAAATATAGTGTTCTAAATGATATTGAACCTCATAATTTGTCTTGTGAGTTAAATGTCGTAACACCATGTGATAGACACAAAATAATGACTGAATCAACAGAAGAAGATCTGCTTCAGGCTAAGGGTATAAAGTCACTTGGGATGATTGTTTATTCCAAGATAACCGATACCATGGTAAGTGCAATTAAAATTCCAAAGTTCCATTTCTGTTCGGTTTAAAAATTGTATGGCAATATTTATATAGATATCAATCACACTGGAGCCCTCAAATGAAAATAAAAGTGGCACAGTATATTTTTTAAACATACCAATAAATGCATCATTGAGCTTAAAAGGCATTACACAGAATGCAGTTAAAGAACACAAAGTGTGGCGGGGCATGGTGGCTCACGCCTATAATCCCAACACTTTGGAAGGCTGAGGCAGGTGAATTCCCTGAGGTCAGGAGTTCAAGACCAGCCTGGCCAACATGGTGAAACTCTGTCTCTACTAAAAATACAAAAATCAGCCAGGTGTGGTGGCATGTGCCTGTAATCCCAGCTGTTACAGAGGCTGAGGCAGGAGAATGGTTTGAACACAGGAGGCAGAAGTTGCAGTGAGCTGAGATCATGCCACTTCTCTCCAGCCTCATCAACAGAACAAGACTCTGTCTTACAAAAAAAAAAGTTGGTGGCGGGGGGGACACAAACTGTAAGTAGTATGACCTGGAGCTAAGAAATGCTACTGTCATCTTTAGCCCTCATGTGATTGACAGCATCTAAGGACCTTGAATTTCTTCTTTGCTGTGAGACACGAGATTAGTCCCAACCCATTCAAGATGGTTAGATATATTTAACAAACAAACAAACTAACAAACAAACAACTTATATAATACTGATGTAACAAAGGGCTACACTCTCAAAACAAAACGGTGAAAGGTAAATAATCCCCTAAACCCAAGAGAAGATACGAGGAGAATCAAAATTGGCTGGTACAAAGAAGCCTCTAGTTGCAGTTGACCAAATGTGACAAGGTTTCTGTGTCTGTGCCATGGCAGTGCAGAGGTAGGCAGGTGTCCTTGGTGGTGTTGGTGACCTACTCCATGAGGTCACTCAGGTGGGCAGGAGGCATGACCACCCTTAGCACACAGCTTCCCTCCTTCCTCACAGTCGCTGCCCTCACGCTCATCCTCAGCAGCGTGAGTGGAACAGAGTGAAGCAAAAGCTGTTTTCTTCTAAAGATCAAAAATCTTGAACTTGCAAATGGAAATAAATGTTATTTTTGCTCCAAGAAACCTTCCATTGAGTGGACCTGTGGATAAACCCACATTTTTTGGTTGTTTTAACCTGAAAATGTATTTACATGATTCTTAGAAATAATTTTTGAGTATGAAATTATATTTTAGCAGCTTATTCCAAGTTCTTATTAACCATTCGATAATTAGTTTTAAAAGGTCATTGATTAAAAAAAAATCTGTTGCTCTAACTGTCCTCCACCGAAAGTAATTTGTCTTTTTAACCTCATCAGACTCCTTTTAAGTTCTTAAACTGACCTTGTTTTTTTTTTAACAGATTCTATACATTAAGTCAATTAATTATTTATGATCAAGTTATTTATCTATTTTGGTTACAAGTAGAAAAAGCCCGTAAGTTGCTATGCCAGAAACCAGCCTCTACATGGCAAACAAACCCCACAATACACAAAAGAGAGCCACGTTCTTAGACACCCTGGGAAAGGAAGAGGGCTATTGTCCCATTAACAACTTGGAGTCCCCAAGGCAAGAATGGCTTGGAACATCTGGAACATCTGGGAGGAGACACCAGGCTGTTGAGTTGTGGGGAATCTGCTCTGTGCTCTGAGACTGAAAGCCCAGGCTTGCCTCTCACCGCTGCCATGACTGTGTCCCCATCTGCTGTGAAGTGAATGGTGCCTTCTAAATTCATGCTGAAGCCCTAATTGCTGAAAACTGTAAGACACGGAATGTGGGTATTATGTGCATCTTCCCGACACCACCATGATGCTCAGGAAGGAGACTTCTTGTTTCCTGTTAGGATTCTCGTTCAAAGCAAGATTTTGCCTCTCCTGCACAATTTCCTTTCCTGATTGTTTCTCTCTTTGACAGAAGATGGCCCAGGTGCTTCACTATTGAGTCTCAACCTCTTATGCAAAGCCCTCAGTCTAGTGTTGCTCTTTTCCTTCATGCTATTTTTGTTTGTTTGTTTTCTTGTAATCACCTTAGCAATAAATAATCACTTTTTTATTCTTAGCTATTAAAGATGTTATCTTAGTTAATTACAGTGGTTCCCTTCAGAATAATAAATGGTCTTTTAAGATGATGGTAAGAGATCCAAATCTATATGCTTGGGAAGTTGCAAGAAGCTCTATCTAGCACGGGTGCCAGTGCCTCTCCCAGAGTGCTCCATGCAGCTGGCCCCACAGAGTCCCTCTGTGCTGTCATATCACCTGCTGCCTTATGTGAATGAGATATTCTGGTTAGAATCCTGGTGGATGCTATTTGAGCCAGTGCCCACACAACTCCCGTGAAAACTGAAACCACAGGACCCTGAAGACAATCACAAGTCTCTAGAATCACAGCTCTTAACTGTCCTCTGCAGACACAGCTTCTCCCCATATGACTGAGGGTTGCCATTGGCTGTGTCCTTCCTTGTGCATGACAACAGGAGACAGAGCAGGTCTGTAAGCAGCCCTGCAAGCCAGGTTCTGTGCAAGCCCTCCTGTGTGGGTGCCTCTTACCTGGACACAGGTGTGTAAACCAAAAATGAACCTCTAAGCTCCCTAGCCAATTGAATGAACTCCTCCTCTCAGCCAAAAATACACCAAAATCAACCTAAAATACAAGTACCATCCATGATGGGTATGGATGTTCAGATATGCCTTAATATATCCTCCTCCCTTTAAAATTCAGGCACAACTGACCAGCTTTTAATATTAAAACAGAGACCTTGAGACTGACTGAAAAAGCAAATTCTTTGTAGCAATAATATACCAACCTGACAGATACCAAGCCCTAGGAGTGTGGGGGTTCAGTCAGGCTGGTGGGAAAAATTTTAGTTATAATAGCCACAAACCGTCTTGGAAGGCCTAAGAGTTTGCATGACTTTAGTAATAGATCTGGCCGTAGTCAGCCTGGTCCCTTTACCGTTGGTTAGATAGACTGAAGAAGATACAAAGGAATGTGGGTGAGTTTATCTAACTAGCTTGTTTACTCATGTTTTCCTAAGAATAACCTTTGATCAACCATGGGTACTTAATTACTCTCTACTTGGCAACCATGTTAATTACCCACAGGTGTGTTGACTCAAAGCCTTTGTCATTAATCTGTGCCAAATACATGGAGGCAGGGGCAGCTAGCCAGCATGCTTGGCTGCTACAAGTCTTTCTGTAGCCGGCCTCCTTGGCCAGCTCCTTCACTGAAATCTCGGTGTTCGGGTACGTTATTAATCCATCATTCAGCTGAAGTACGCAGGACGGATCCCAACATATGAGAAATCAAAGTATTTTCCCCAAGATATTTTTATTTAATGTATTTTTAAATGCCTCTGCAAAACCGTTTCTTGTGGGAAAAATCTATATTCTGTAGAGAATCCTATCCCTTTACAAGTCTCTTTCCTGACCAAGAGAGATTTAACTAAGAGTCTGGCACCTTTTAAGTCTGCTAAGAAACAATTACTATCCATTCTCTCTGAAGCCTGCTGCCTGGAGGCTTCATCTGCATGATAAAACCTTGGCTCTACCATTCTTTTTCTTAACCCAGAAACTCCTTTCTGTTGATCACAGGTCATTAGATAAACTCTTTCAACCACCTATGGAATCTTTGAATTCACCTATGACCTGGAAATCCCCAACACACACGCACCCTTTGAGCTGTCCTGCCTTTCCATATCAAACCAATGTACAGCTTACACATATTGATTGATATCTTATGTCTCCCTAAAACGTGTAAAACTAAGCTGTAGCCCGACCACCTTGGGCACACGTTCTCAAGACATCCTGAGGCTGTTTCACTGATATATCTTTAACTTTGACCAAATATATTTCTAAATTGATTGAGACTTGTCTGAGACTTGTCTGAGATACTTATTGGTTACAGGTGTCACTGGATACACTGAGGGAAGTGAAGAGATTTACGACCTTGAGAAAAGGAGGAAGCCAGGATGTGGGGGGGAGAGAGAGAGAGAGAGAGAGAGAGAGCAAGCTTATGATGTTTGTACAGGACTAACACTGAGACCTGGTTCTGTAATGGTGTAGTGCTGAGTATCATCCCCAAATAACGAGGTTTCATTCCAAGGAGCCTATGCATGTATCTTACCTGGGAAAAGGGCTTTTTCAGGTGTAAATTAAGGAGCTTGAAATAGGGCCATGATCTTAGGTTAATCACGTGGACCCCAAATGCGATCACAATGTCCTGAGAAAAAAAGAGGTAGAGAGACACTTACCATAGACTGAAGAGGAGAAGGCAATGTAAACACAGAGACAGAGATTGCAGTGATGTGTCCACAGCCAAGGAGAGTGGAAGCCACCAGAAGATGAAGAGCTAAATCAGACTCCTCCTGAAGGAGCTTGACCCGACGACTCCAAGATCTTATCCCAGTGAAACTGATTCTGGACTTCTGGTGTCCAGAACTATGAGTGATTCCAATCCTGTTGTTTGAAGCTACCACATTTTTTAGAACTTGTTACAGTAGCCCAAGGACACTAACACAAATGGGGCTCTGGGAAAATAC